CATAATTTATATTTTGTTGCCTCCCATTATTGAAGGGTAAATGCTCTCCTTAATAATGGGCTAGTCGCCTACCATTTATAGAGTTGTTTTATTTTCGTTCAAGATGTCGGTGGTGTATACAGTAACGTACCGACCATATGTAGGAATAAAAACGTAAAAGTAAATCACATTTTTGCCTGATAGTTTTATTCTATGACGCACAAAAAAAACAAAACAAAAAAAAACAACGACAACAAGAAAACAACAACAGATGTGAAAAAAGTGTTATGTTTCCGTATTGATTTACGCGATTAAAATTTCATTGCTTAATCAACACGTTTGTGTCGAGCTTAAGCAAGACGAAGTCTCATTTTTTTGTCACATGATACTATTGTTTATAAGGATATTCATAAAAAAAAAACAGTGCCGTTAGCAGAACGTATTACTTGCTTAATTATTGTTTAAGGATATTCATGAAAAAAATGTTAAAAGAACGTGTTACTTGTTGATCTTTCTTGACAATAGCTTGTAAGGTAGAAATCTCATAAATTCGTTACAACCATTTACACTAGCTTGTGAGGTATAAATCTCATACATTCGTTACAACCATTTACACTAGCTTGTGAGGTAGAAATCTCATAAATTCGTTACAACCATTAACACTAGCTTGTAAGGTATAAATCGCATGAATTCGTTACAACCATTTACACTAGCTTGTGAGGTATAAATCTCCTACATTCGTTACAACCACGAAGTAGTGTGTAGTTACATATTTATTTCTAGACAAAGGGCAATAACTCGCTGGTCTTATTCTTTCATCAAGGGAAATAAGCGGTGAGGTAATGCAAAAAATAAACTCAGACATGTTTAGAAAGTTAACAATAAAAAAAAACCCCAGGGTCTCATAATGGAGTTTTCATACACATTAGGCGACCCCCAAAACACCATTGAGTCCACCGTCTCAGGTTGGATTTGTTCCTGCACCTTAGATGATCCCCTTTAGATCACTGAATCCACCTTCTCACAATCATTTTGTTCACACTCCTCAGAAGACCCCCCCCCCTCCCTCCCCAGAAACGACATCCAGTCACGTTTGGCCACGTGTTATTCTCGCGTCAGACCTGAGAAAGCTTAGCCGAACATTGTCTTCAAACCAAACCTCCCCCCTTAGCTATCCCAATATGGAAATCACCCTCGGCCTGAGTTTTAATGTGTTTGGTGATTTTCCCTCGTGCTTTAATGTATCCAGTTATTTCCCCTGCAGGCTAAAACAATACAACTAGGTCAGGCAGGGTGACGTGACAATAACGTTAGCTCGCCATCTCCAAACAGCTAGATCGAATTTGTTAAATCCCCTGAACAAAATTCACAAAGTTGCAATCCTACTATTTCTATTTTAAATGATTTTTTACTTTTATTATATATATATATATATATATATATATATATATATATATATATATATATATATATATATATATATATATATAAACTCACAGTCAAAGATGTGTAATCAATATTGTATGATACTTTTTAAATATGTTAGTAACACGAGGTATATGTTTTGTTTTCGCTGTTTACTTATTTTAAATGTGAGATCTGGTCTGTAATTAAAAATTCGCAAGACTTAGGTTGCACATCTAAATAGTTTGATAGAATACACGGATCTGACAAAATAAGTAAAGAACCATCCCAGAATTCATTAGATAGGGTGGATTCGATGCTCGCGGCTGAGGGGATTAGACAAGGGAGGTATGGCTACAAGCATTGATGGGCTAGAGTGATATGGCTACAAGCATTGATGTACTAGAGTGATATGGCTACATGCATAGATGGACTAGAGTGATATGGCTACATGCATTGATGGAGTGATTTGGCTACATGCATAGATGGACTAGAGTGATATGGCTACATGCATTGATGGACTAGAGTGATATTGCTACATGCATAGATGGACTAGAGTGATATGGCTACATGCATTGATGGACTAGAGTGATATTGCTACATGCATTGATGTAGTGCACTAAAAGAATTGTTGAATGCATGTCATATGTCAACTCTCTATTGTTATCCTCTGGCAATCTATTTTCTTCCCCTTTCTCCATCTGCTACTCTCTCCCCCTTTTTCCTTCTCTCACTCCATCTACCCCCCCCCAATCTCAACATCTATCACCTACACTCCTCCCCTCTTTACCCCTCCATCGTCCCCCACTCTTCCTACCCCTCCCCCACCCCACCTCCCTATACCTCCCAAACCCTCCCATAACCCCAGCCCACCTCAGCCCACCCCTACACACAACATGACACCAAACAAAAGGTAGTTAACGTCTATAGAAGCTGATCACTTGTCGAACTTTAAATGTCAGGTAATGGCCAGCATTCCTTTCTTAATCCGGTACAACACGGGGGAGGGGGGGGGGGGGAGTAAAACAAGAGAAGAAAGGTGTGTTAGACAAAATCTCACTAGGGTATGGATTATTCAACACACAGATTATATAAGAAATGATCTCACTGGGGTATGGATTATTCAACACACAGATTAGCCAAGAGGTCTGTCTAAAGTTTCATTACATTTCTGCAGATTTTTTACGTGTTACTTTAGGCTACAGCTAGGCGAAACATGCAGCAAGTTGTAAAAGAAACCAAAGTAGAACAGAGTGGCGAGGAAAAAAACATTCTGGGCAGACCTTTTAACAACAAAATAAATGGCAGAGGCGTACATAACACTCACTATTATCCTCCACTACACCCCCCCCCCCCCCCCATCAAAGTTATCAGATTTAGTACCTGATGTGGTACATATTTACCTGCCTTTTATTTCTTTGAACATTGATTTTGTTTTACTAAGTACCCGCTCACTGTAACAAGCAGAGACTAATGGACGTGCTTGTGGTGTACAGTCACTTGAACAATCATCGGGAGATCGGAGTAATCTCCCAGCTCGATTCGCTCCCTCTTATCCCAAGCTTTGTTTCGTTGTTTCAAGTACCCTACCGTATGTTACAATTTTTAATTATTAATATCACTGTGTTGCTATGATTAGGCTTTGTCCAATTATTGATTTTTATTCTAGTTTAAAAATCAAATCTAGCGTTGTACAAAGAATTGATTTTTGTAGTTTATCAAATTTAGTGTATCATAAAAAAGGCTAATATGTTTTTGTAGTTTCGTATTAAATTTAGTGTTTTACAAAAACTGATTTTAGTAGTGTTATTTTAAAATAAAATATAGTGTAGTAGCCGGTTCTCAGAGCCGGTCCTCGACACGGTTAAAAAAGCCGGTTGTCGTCTCGGTTACAAAAGCCGGTTCCCGACGCGGCTACAAAAGCCGGTTCATGACACGGTTACAAAAGTCGGTTCACGACAAAGTTACAAAAGCCGGTTCCCGACACGGTTACAAAAGCCGGCTTTGAGGCTACTGCTGGAATTTCACAAATGTGCGACATGATAGATTGGCTAATGTGGGATAGACGTGAACAGCTCTTATATCTGGGTTCCTTATCGCTTCCTATGTTTCTCTCATTATCATTCTGCTGGTGAACATCTAACTCGTTTTAGTCAACAACGAGGGAACTATCGATTATTCTAAAACAAATCAATCGAACTGCTGCAAAAAATCAATCGCTCAAAAGATTGTTATAAGCTCAGCTGTTGTGCTGCGTATCATACCTGTGATGGTATCTATGAAGGAATCTGTATCTGTGAAGGTTTCTGAAACACCTATGTAACCCACCCGTGTCATCTATCTCTACTACGCCCCTGGTTATCACAATGATCAGACCCCAGGGATAGGAGGGCTGAACAGTTAGATCGCATGGGACAGCCGCAGGTTTATTTCGTTCTTCAGCTGTTGAACGTGCAGATGTTTGTTGGGTATGTGCTGCGGCTGTTTATGTGACTAGTGTACTAGGTCTGTGCTTCAATTACTTTAGTGTACAAGGTCTGTGCTTCAACTACTTTAGTGTACTAGGTCTGTGTTTCAACTACTTTAGTGTACTAGGTCTGTGCTTCAACTACTTTAGTGTACTAGGTCTGTGCTTCAACTACTTTAGTGTACTAGGTCTGTGCTTCAACTAGTGTACTAGGTCTGTGCTTCAACTAGTGTACTAGGTCTGTGCTTCAATTACTTTAGTGTACTAGGTCTGTGCTTCAATTACTTTAGTGTACTAGGTCTGTGCTTCAACTACTTTAGTGTACTAGGTCTGTGCTTCAACTACTTTAGTGTACTAGGTCTGTGCTTCAACTACTTTAGTGTACTAGGTCTGTGCTTCAACTACTTTAGTGTACTAGGTCTGTGCTTCAACTAGTGTACTAGGTCTGTGCTTCAACTACTTTAGTGTACTAGGTCTGTGCTTCAACTACTTTAGTGTACTAGGTCTGTGTTTCAACTAATTTAGTGTATTAGGTCTGTGCTTCAACTACTTGTGTGGTGCTGTCCACTTGTTACATTAAAATGCACCTCTACGTTAGCTAGAGGCTAGACAAGGCAAATACTTCTTACTAATTACTCGCTGGGTATACATACTCTTCCACATTAACATGTGCATGCTCCACCAAATTCGGACTGTGTGGACTATGTTCGTTATGGAGTGGATATTACATCATAATATGTTGGCTTGTTTTGTAAACAAAGCGTCAACCAAATCGGTGATGCATGAAGTCATGTAATCAAAGTTACGAGACAATAAAATATTCAACACCCATTTATCTAAACTGAACTGATCAAACTGTAAATAAATCATTTGTTAATCCACGTGCTGTATCCGAGCAATTTTATAAAATACGCAGAGTATTTCGTCAATATAAATGGATATTTCTGGATACAATATTTTTTTCTTGTTTTGATGGGAATTTTGTTTTGCTTGCAAAGCTTCTCTAAATATTAGAGCCAATAGATTTTAAACACATTTTTTTTTACAGTTGCGTGTTTCCCCAGATAGAGAGAGACAGTCAGATAGAGAGAGCCGGATAGATAGACAGACAGCTAGAGAGGGAGAGAGAGAGACAGACAGACAGACAGACATGAATCCTGATCTCAAATCTACCTGTCTTTGTGCACTCATCCTCGCCGCCGTAATTAGCCTGACGTCATCAGAGATCTTCACCTCCTCCCTGAAGGTGGAGAGGATGGTGATGGAGGAGGAGAGCCTGCTGGGAGAGTTCAAACGTTTCATCGACCAACAGTACGAAAGGCTGAAGACCTTTTCAAAGTGAGTGGGGTTTTGTTTTCTATGGGATAATAGCCTGGCTGTCTAGACTTGGATCAAAGTTACAAGCGGGAGGGGGGGGGGGATAAAATTAGATATTCTGGCATTCTGTTATGTATTTCACAACAGAAAATAGTTTTTAAACGAGTAATCCATTAGAAGATTTGTCTGTAATCTGGGCGACACTGGTGTATAAAAAAGGAAGTAAATAGAGTAGGTTTATAATCTGGGCAACACTGGTATATAAACAACGGAAGTTAGATTACAAAGAGCAGCGAGTAGTGTGTTCACAGCGATGTTTAATGGTTGTATGCTAACAGCTGAACTGAAGAAAATATTTGCCGTTCACTTGTCTGTGGCTAGTGGCCTATCTGATGGGTGGCTATACATAGTTTGGAAATTTGGAGTCGAATATATCCAGGGCCTTGATAGAAACAATTAGCCCGTCAGTTATGTAAGCTTCAGTGGCGGAGCTACATGGCAGTTGTTGGGGGGGGGGGGGGGGGGGCAGACCATTTGAGGGCGCCGAAATCCTTCCAAAAATATATATTTAAAACGAAATACGTCAACCGGTATAATTTTATGTAGGTTCAAAGATCATTCATACGAATTTTCTTTCAGGCACCTCTTCGGGGGGTGGGGGGGGACCTCTCTATCTCTAAATACATACATACATATATACATATTATAACGCTATGAGACTCCGTGGTTTTCCCTAGCATGTTAAAAGATTTCAGAATGCTACGTGTAACGGGAGTTTTTGATCAATACAAATATTTCCACGCTGACAAAATCACAGCAACAACCCAATTTCCACATTTCCACATCATTTAAAGGTGATGTTTTCCACCCAGTTTTTATTCAGATCGCCTTAGGGACGTCAGGTTCCGGAGTGGACAGGAAGTGCGTCACGAGCTTCAACATCCCAATGCTGTGTACAACGTCATCAAAAGATTTGCTAACGACTACTCGTCGGTGCTGGGTGAAAACTTTGGTAGGTTTTTGTGTTGAAATAATTAGCACGGGTTAATTAACCTAACGAACTAGCAATGGGGTTACACATAAAATAGAAGGAACATAATTATAGACACTTTAAAGGGTTCAATGACAAATGATCTCAGACAAAATATCTCACGGACAAATGATCTAAAGAAAAATGATCTCAAGACAAATGATCTCAAGACAAATGATATCAGGACAAATGATCTCAAGGACAAATGATCTCACGGACAAAAGATACCAGGACAAAATATATCAGGACAAAATATGATACCATGGTCAATTATTCTCAGACAAAATATCTCAGACAAAATATCCCACAGCAAAATTCAATAGTGTATCGGATGATTTAAGTGAGAAATGTTTGCCGTATAAATTTGTCATATTGCACTAAACTTTTAAAAACTAAGAGTGGTGATGATGTAGATATTGTTGTTGTTGTTGGTGGTGGTGTTTGACGATGGAGGTAGTTACAATTGTTTGGGAATTGTGGTGTAATAGTGTGATCATCTTATACCTTGGATTACTAAAAAAAACAATGGATACCTGTCTTACAAAACAACACACATTTTGTTGTCCTATCGAATGTATTGCTGGGGAAATGACGCGCATGATTGGTAAAAACGTTTGATGTTCTTACAAGCTACTGGTATACATTAGTGTGACAGTAGTGTAGACTTTATGATACAACAGGCGAGGAAACATCTCTCATATATGCACTGAAGGGGTGGGGGCTGGGCCGGGTGTGTGTGTGGGGGGGGGGGGGGGGGAGAACCCATTGCTCCGGGCATGCGAGGACGACACGCCTGTTTCAAATGAAACAAATAATTTTCCCGCCATCCCTTTAAGCCATATGCAACCCGTATCAATTAGGATCTGAATTTACGTGACGGATTAAAATGGGATGAACGGTGGAGATGGAGAGATTGTATAATTTACTATTCAATAACCGTACACTAGTCCATACAGGATGTGTGTAAATATAGGAAGGAAGGAGTAGGTCAGTGAATCAGTAAATCATTGAGAAAGTCTTAAGTTGTTGGGACGTCTAAACAGAGCTGCACTACCCTCTTGGTCTTAGTCTTAGTTGGTCTTCACCCATATTACGGCGCTGTTCCAGGTCCAATTGTAGGCCCAGCTGTAGGCCCAGCTGTATGCCCAGCTGTAGGCCCATCACTAGGCCCAGCCCTGCTTTAAGTTTTCAACCATGATATAACGAAAGCCCTCCTTTACACGAGACAACTTGTTGCTGACTGTTGTATTTCCATTTCTCCCACAGAGTTTCCGTTACGCCATTAAACTGTTGTATTTCCATTTCTCCCACAGAGAGTTTCCGTTACGCCATTAAACTGTTGTATTTCCATTCCTCCCACAGAGAGTTTCCGTTACGCCATTAAACTGTTGTATTTCCATTCCTCCCACAGAGAGTTTCCGTTACGCCATTAAACTGTTGTATTTCCATTCCTCCCACAGAGAGTTTCCGTTACGCCGTGAGGAACTCGATGGAGCAGTTTCTGGCAGACAGGGAGGACATCCGTGGGGCCAAGAGATCTCTGCTGCGTCTTCAGGTAGTTCCTCGTGGGCCACTATGGGGGGGGGGGGGAGACAGGCAGTATAGGTGACTGGGGGGGGGGGGGGGCAGTATAGGCCACTGTGTGGGGGAGGGGGGGGGGTCAGGCAGTATAGGTGACTGGGGGGGGGGGGCAGTATAGGCCACTGTGTGGGGGAGGGGGGGTCAGGCAGTATAGGTGACTTGGGGGGGGCAGTATAGGCTACTGGGGGGGGGAGGCAGTATAGGTGACTGGGGGGGGGGCAGTATAGGCCACTGTGTGGGGGAGGGGGGGGTCAGGCAGTATAGGTGACTGGGGGGGCAGTATAGGCTACTGGGGGGGGGAACAGGCAGTATAGGTGACTGGGGGGGGGGCAGTATAGGCCACTGTGTGGGGGAGGGGGGGTCAGGCAGTATAGGCTACTGGGAGGAGTGGCGGCCGAGGGCAGGTGCTGTGGGTTAGTCGGTATAGACTGCTGGGTGACGGGTAACCAGAGACGGGTTGGGTCTGATGTGGGCCAGTATAGATGGCTGAAGTGGGTAACCGAAGTTGTCTAGAGCTGGGGCTGAGTGGGATCAGGGTAGGTGACTTGGGGAAGTGTGGGGCTAGCATGGCCGGCTGAAGTGTCGGCATAGGCTGCTGGGTGTGGGAGAGGTTGATGGGTCGGCATAGGCTGCTGGGTGTGGGAGAGGTTGATGGGTCGGCATAGGCTGCTGGGTGTGGGAGAGGTTGGTGGGTCGGCATAGGCTGCTGGGTGTGGGAGAGGTTGATGGGTCGGCATAGGCTGCTGGGTGTGGGAGAGGTTGATGGGTCGGCATAGGCTGCTGGGTGTGGGAGAGGTTGATGGGTCGGCATAGGCTGCTGGGTGTGGGAGAGGTTGATGGGTCGGCATAGGCTGCTGGGTGTGGGAGAGGTTGATGGGTCGGCATAGGCTGCTGGGTGTGGGAGAGGTTGATGGGTCGGCATAGGCTGCTGGGTGTGGGAGAGGTTGATGGGTCGGCATAGGCTGCTGGGTGTGGGAGAGGTTGATGGGTCGGCATAGGCTGCTGGGTGTGGGAGAGGTTGGTGGGTCGGCATAGGCTGCTGGGTGTGGGAGAGGTTGGTGGGTCGGCATAGGCTGCTGGGTGTGGGAGAGGTTGATGGGTCGGCATAGGCTGCTGGGTGTGGGAGAGGTTGATGGGTCGGCATAGGCTGCTGGGTGTGGGAGAGGTTGGTGGGTCGGCATAGGCTGCTGGGTGTGGGAGAGGTTGATGGGTCGGCATAGGCTGCTGGGTGTGGGAGAGGTTGATGGGTCGGCATAGGCTGCTGGGTGTGGGAGAGGTTGGTGGGTCGGCATGGTCCCTGGCATATCATTTCAAAGTAAGGATGGGCGGATCTAGAATTTAAGAAAGGTGGGTTGAATTTGTGAGGGTGAGTGTGTCAAATAATGTATGAGGTCTTACACACAGAGACACAATGCGATACGTGGTGTTATCATGGGAATTAACACACTGTGTTCACGCTGGTCCCGAACACCACCTTCATTGCCAGCTATTGAAGCACCACAAAGCAATTAAACCACTTTTATGTAACACCACAGGTGAAGACTTCCACTGTTCATTATGAAAGTGGTATTTTTACCACCTGTAAATGGGGTTTCTGACCAGACATGTAATCAGTGTAACACACAGTCTACAGACCATTAACATTTCTTCACGTTACAACCCAAGGAGAATGCCTTGGTTAAAGAACACGATTTTACCTGCTCATGTCAACAACAAAAAAACGCGAAAGCTAAAGAAGTGACTGAACACACGGGACACATGTAACTCAGAGAAAAAAAATAACACTGAACTTTACAACTTCATCCCATCATATTAGGACTTTTTTTCAAACCCTTTTCAGCGTATAACAACGAAAAACTAACGTATTTTCAACAATGATAACTGACTGTAATAAATATCGTGGGCTTTAGAAACCTCATGCATAATTTCTACACTACAAATACTTTTCTGATCCAGTGACATTAAATCTTTGAGTCTGTTCTGTCACAAAAATTAATCTGTAATACCATCCCATTCCATATATATATATATATATATATATATATATATATATATATACAGGGGCGTAGCGAGGGGGGGGGCGGGGGGTGCGGACCGCACCGGGTGACACCATTTAGGGGGGTGACACCAAGGCAAAAAATAGCAAAATATATAGAGAAAAACTCGAGGGGGGGTGCAAATCGAAAGTTTGAGGGGGGGGGGGTGCAAATCGAAAACTTGAGGGGGGTGCAAATCGAAAGTTTGAGGGGGGGGTGCAAATCGAAAATTTGAAAGTTTGTCCCTGGGAAGGGTCTCTATGCCTCTGGGGGGGTGACACCATTAAGTGCCGCACCGGGTGACACCCGACCTCGCTACGCCACTGTATATATATATATATATATATACATATAAATTTTCAGGCTGTTTATAAAATGAAAGCTTTAGATATGGCAAGGGGAGATTACTTAGGATTCCAAGGGCCACCATTAGCGCCAGTTGATGTTTATGAAATCGGACAGACAGCTTTCTCAGGTTAGATTCACACATCTTATGTCCATCTAATGTCCATCTTATGTCCATCTTATGTCAGTTTTATGTCCATCTCCCCATCAAAGGTTAGATCCACACATCTATTTAATGTCCATTAATGTTTAGATGGAGACGTGTAATGTCCATTTAACACATCAAACTTGAAATATCCCCGCTCTTATCGTAGCCGATTTATTTAACTACTGGGACATTAGGAATATTACAACTATAACTATATCTGACATGCGTGACAGAGTGACAGATGTGGCATCTATGACAGGTGTCGCATCAATGATATGTATGACATCAATGACACATGACAATGACATATGTGACATCCATGACACGTGTGACATCGATATCATGTATGACATCAATGACACTTGACAAAACGTGTGTGACATCAGTGACATGCGTGACACCCATGACAAACATGACATGCATGACATACATGACACCAATGTCATCTTAATCTTCTAGAAGGGAAGCTGAACGAGAGTATTGAGTGGCTGAACGCCTCCATCACTTTGTACCTGGGCCCGGAGGGTCAAGCTCTACCGTACGGGCCGTCAGTGGCTGCCATCAAGGCTTTAATGGCGCGGGTCCATCTGTTTGTAAGTAGCCTAGGATCACACTCTCACTAGAAACACGGGCCGTCAGTGGCTGCCATCAAGGCTTTAATGGCGCGGGTCCATCTGTTTGTAAGTAGCCTAGGCTCACACTCTCACTAGAAACACGGGCCGTCAGTGGCTGCCATCAAGGCTTTAATGGCGCGGGTCCATCTGTTTGTAAGTAGCCTAGGCTCACTCTCTCACTAGAAACACGGGCCGTCAGTGGCTGCCATCAAGGCTTTAATGGCGCGAGTCCATCTGTTTGTAAGTAGCCTAGGCTCACTCTCTCACTAGAAACTCTAGACGTTTGCTTTAAATGACGAGCCGAAGCACTATATATACAATAACACAATTACATCTGTAAGCATTAAAATTCCAGCTTTATCTCCCATTTCTAGTCTACAACCACAGCCCTATAACCCATCCATGGAGACGGCGTGGTCGAATGGTAGAGCTTTTGGTGGCTCTAAGTCCAAAAGTCTCGAGTTCGGATCTCAGTTCCTCCTTTTAACTGTAGAACGTCCGATTCCCCCTATTCAAGTCTATAATCACAACTCATTTTCGAACCGTAAACCATATTGTCTTGATTTCCTAAATTACTTACTTTACCTTGCTAAGCTTTAACACTACCCCTCCCCTTCAGAGCCCCACCCTACCCCACCCCACCCAGCTCCATCCACCGGTCCCATCAAAGTGTTAAAATAAAAATGTAACCGCATGCATTGTTTTAGGTGTGGTGATAGTGAGATGCTGTAGCCATGGTGATCTGGCTGACGTATTGATTCCAGTTTTTTAAATTTCCCCACAGAATGGTGACGTTGCCACCGCCGAGGGACTCTATGAGTACGTCAAAACTTTAGGTAGGATGTAGTCTGCTACATTTTTAAAAACTTTTTTTTTTCATGCGGTGGTACTTGCAGAATCATCAAAACCTTTTGTGTATCTTTTTTTTCAAGGTGTGACGTTTGTACAAAGCCCCCCCCCCCCCAGAGTACACCCCCACCCCGACCGCAAGGGTTCAAATATACCCCCCCCCCCGAAGTAGAAATTATTAAAAAAGAAACCTTGTTACAACCAGCTACGTTGAAAACTAGAAATAGGATTTTTAAAATTATGTCTCTGGTAGTTTGGGCATGCATGTGACATCTATACACATTCTGATTGGCTGCATACACACAGAGAAAGGTCATTGACGTATGAATATTTTATAGCACGTTGGAAAAAAATATTGCTTTTAAAAATTGTTTGTTCATCTTTTATGGTTAAACATGAAACATTACGACAAGCCATTAAAATATGCTACAGGTATACGCTACAGTGGCTACAGACAATGTTAGTTCAAACACACAGCCACACACAGAGCCACACACACACACACACTGCCACACACAGCCACACACACATACATACTCTTTCACACACCCACACCCCTATCCCAACACACATATGAAACACACAGAGACACACATGTATGTTAAAGTAGCATTGCGATAATCGTGAACACACCGTTTACCTAGCACATCCACAACAAGGGCAGTAACTACAACATATGTAGTAGCAAGACAAGGGCAGTAACTACACCATATGTAGTAGCAAGACAACAAGGGCAGTAACTACACCATATGTAGTAGCAAGACAACAAGGGCAGTAACTACAACATATGTAGTAGCAAGACAACAAGGGCAGTAACTACACCATATGTAGTAGCAAGACAACAAGGGCAGTAACTACACCATATGTAGTAGCAAGACAACAAGGGCAGTAACTACACCATATGTAGTAGCAAGACAACAAGGGCAGTAACTACAACATATGTAGTAGCAAGACAACAAGGGCAGTAACTACACCATATGTAGTAGCAAGACAACAAGGGCAGTAACTACACCATATGTAGTAGCAAGACAACAAGGACAGTAGCTACACCATATGTAGTAGCAAGACAAGGACAGTAACTACCATTCATCACTTAACAGCGAGACACGAACACGACAAAACTTGTCTGAAGCCTGAATTAGCCACTGGCTACAGGGCTAGCGTTGTTGTCGTACAACAACAAACCCCCCGCAACATGCTGAGGAAATTAACCGAACATTTGGCAACTCTCGAATAGGCCTACACATCAAATAAATACAAAGCGTTTATGGTTCTTGTGAAGCGATCAATCCGATTTCTAAGCCCCTGTACATTTTCTATTGACAAACGAAAACACGACGTTACTATTTATATATGTAAGCATTCATTCAATTCCTATAATGAGATTCGTTTAGTTTGAAGCTGTACTTCTAAATCCTTTTTAAAAAAAAAGCCAAACAATCATCGCTATTTCAACCTTCTCCAACCCCCAAAAATATTCTTTCTTAAAAAAAGCTGGTCTTTATATTCCTGCTGAGAGGCTGCTGAAATAATGACCAATTTTAGCTTCCCTCCCCTGGAGAAATCTTTAATTTGTTCGTCAATACCTCGCACTGGAAAGTTTTCTCCCAAAGCTCGACTTCGTGTTAAAGCTGGTTTGGAACTTGACAGAAACATGTCTTATATTTAACCCTAAAACCTACCTGTAACAAATGTAACAGGTCGTTCCACTGGAGATTATTCACATAGGTTGTTGTTACGGTGTGTTGTTTTCCGTCTGCTGAAGTGAATTAAACCGTGACACGCTTGACTAGCTCCATATAACAGGAACACACATTAATCCAACGATAACGATGTTTATTACAGTTACAATCCGACCGTGAAGTGATCAAAAGAAAACACATTCCTAGAAACTTGTTAAAATAAAATAACTAATGGAGACAGCACATCGGCAACATAAAAACTTTAACACAGAATACTTAGAGACCGCAACAACCACAGCAGGTGTGTGGAGTGTTAGTGAACAGTTTGTGAGTAGTAGTCATGTCCCGTGGTCAGGTATAAACAAATCGTCAAAACAATGCGACGTTCCGTGGTCAGACAAACACATCGTCATATCAAAGCAACACATAACACATTATAATGTTTACTGTGTTTCAACACATATGCCTAGTATCAGAGGCGTAGCGATTGCGGGGGGGGGGGGGGGCGGGGAGTAATTAACAGTTTTTAACATAGAACCTACCTATTTTAAAATCAGAAATATTAATTATTAACCTACAAACTACCCATGTTTTAACCTAACACATACAGTGTTTCTTCCAGACTTTTTTTCTCCGGGGGGGCACTTGAAATCTTCGGGGGGGGGGGGGCGGACACTGTTAAAAGTATATATTTTCTATATAAATTATATAAATTTCATTTCGTTCGGGGGGGCGGTAAAAATTTTTCGGGGGGGGGGCTTTGCCCCCCCGAAGAGATGCCTGGAAGAAACTCTGAACACATACAATGTTTTAACCAAAAACCTACCCATGTTTTAACCTAAAACCTAGCCATGTTTTAACCAAAGACCTACCCATGCTTTAACCTAGAACCTACCCATGTTTGAACGTAGAACCTACCCATGATTTAACCTAAACCTACCCACGTTTTAACCTAAAACCTACACATGTTTTAACCTAAAACCTACCCATGTTTTAACCTAAAACCTACCCACGTTTTAACTTAAAACCTACTCATGTTTGAACCTAAAACCTACCCACGTTTTAACCTAAAACCTACACATGTTTTAACCTAAAACCTACCCATGTTTTAACCTAAACCTACCCATGTTTGAACATAAAACCTACCCACGTTTTAACCTAAAAACTACCCATGTTTGACCTAAAACCTACCCATGTTTGAACCTAAAACCTACTCATGTTTTAACCTAAAACCTACCCATGTTTTAACCTAAACCTACCCATGTTTGAACCTAAAACCTACCCACGTTTTAACCTAGAACCTACCCATGTTTGACCTAAAACCTACCAATGTTTTAACCTAAAACCTACCAATGTTTAAACCTAAAACCTACCCATGTTTTAAACTAAAACCTACTCATGTTTTAACCTAAAACCTACCCATGTTTTAACATAAAACCTACCCACGTTTTAACCTAGAACCTACCCATGTTTGACCTAAAACCTACCCATGTTTTAACCTAAAACCTACCAATGTTTAAACCTAAAACCTACCCATGTTTTATACTAAAACCTACTCATGTTTTAACCTAAAACCTACCCATGATTTAACCTAAAACCTACCCACGTTTTAACCTAGAACCTACCCACGGAGACGTGATAGAGTTGGAGCGAGAACTGAAGTCACACCCCACATTTGTTCACCAGTTGCCCCAAGACTATTTCCAGAACTTCAGCCGCCTCTGTAGTCTTGAGAACCGGCACCACGTACCCGTGAGTATTGTTGTCTTGAGATCTTTCAAAATTTCTTGAAAAAGTTAATTTCCTAAATTTTAATCGTGACTTTATTGAACACAAAGTTTAGAACCTCTACATTCAATCACTGAAGTGTTCAGTTCGCAATTATCTATCGATCTCGGGCAGTTAACCTAAATCCCAACAAATCAATTTAATTGATCGGTCGAAATCCATTTTAGTGATGCATTTCCTTTTATCACCATATTTAATTTTGGGTTCATTAATCGAAACTGGATAAGACTTGCTGCACTTTTAAAATGTGTTGGTTCTTACGTGTCTGTTTTCACAACCTAATGTGTGTATAAAGCAAACACTCCGTAGTTTCAACTCACGACACTACTGACTGTCACGTGATGCGAAGACGTCACAGGGCAGGGGCCGGTAGTATGGTCCGCACCGGGTGACCCCATTTAGGAGATCACACCAAAACGAAAAAACTGTAAAATTTATTGTCAAAACAATTTTTTATCCAGTTAAAAAAAAATTAAATAATAGGTTAGAAGGGGGTGACACCAAACCGAAAAAGTAAACGTGATGGATAGGTGGAGGGGTGGAGGGGTACTTTTTAACACCACTGATGCGATGGTAGATTCAACTTTAGCTCGTACCGTTATCCAATGTTACAAAAGTGATAACGCCCCCCTACCTGTTAAACTACTCATATGTGCATAAGTAAAGCTCGCTATACCTTCTTCTTGAATGAGTCTATGTGTGGTCAGCTGAAGTAGTGACATATAGATGGATGTTTATGTGTTATAGACACATGTAAACACACCAGACACAGCTGGGTGCTGTCAGAGGTTTCTTCCAGACTTTGTTCTCCGGGGGGAGGGGCTCTTGATATATTCGGGGGGGGGGGGGGGGGTGGGGCGGACAACATTTTCCGGGGGGGGGGGGCGGACACTGGTAAAAGTATATTTTCTATATAAATTCCATTTCGTTCGGGGGGACGGTAGACTTTATTCGAAGAGATGCCTGGAAGAAACAATGGGTGCTGTGTGTCGTACTTCGGTCACGTGACTGACATACCGTACGTTGTGTCAATACAAGAATGTCATCTGTTGTGTAATTGTCATGACATCCAGTGTGATATGTGTCTGTAAATGAAATGGCGCAAATGTTTTTGTCATCTGAATATCTTAACGATTGTATCTGTCATGTAAACAACGTCCAGTGTTATGTGTTGGCCTATGTGTCATCTAATTATCTTAAAGATGTTTTGAATTATATTAAAGAAGTTTAAGTATCTGTCACGTGTTATGTGTTAGCCTGTCATCTAATTATCTTAAAGATGTTTGTGTATCTGTCACGTGTTATGTGTTGGCCTATGTGTCATCTAATTATCTTAAAGATGTTTGTGTATCTGTCACGTGTTATGTGTTGGCCTGTCATCTAATTATCTTAAAGATGTTTGTGTATCTGTCAAGTGTTATGTGTTGGCCTGTCATCTAATTATCTTAAAGATGTTTGTGTATCTGTCACGTGTTATGTGTTGGCCTGTCATCTAATTATCTTAAAGATGTTTGTGTATCTGTCACGTGTTATGTGTTGGCCTGTCATCTAATTATCTTAAAGATGTTTGTGTATCTGTCACGTGTTATGTGTTGGCCTGTCATCTAATTATCATAAAGATGTTTGTGTATCTGTCACGTGTTATGTGTTGGCCTATGTGTCATCTAATTATCTTAAAGATGTTTGTGTATCTGTCACGTGTTATGTGTAGGCCTATGTGTCATCTAATTATCTTAAAGATGTTTGTGTATCTGTCACGTGTTATGTGTTGGCCTGTTATCTAATTATCTTAAAGATGTTTGTGTATCTGTCACGTGTTATGTGTTGGCCTGTCATCTAATTATCTTAAAGATGTTTGTGTATCTGTCACGTGTTATGTGTTGGCCTGTCATCTAATTATCTTAAAGATGTTTGTGTATCTGTCACGTGTTATGTGTTGGCCTGTCATCTAATTATCTTAAAGATGTTTGTGTATCTGTCACGTGTTATGTGTTGGCCTATGTGTCATCTAATTATCTTAAAGATGTGTGTGTATCTGTCACGTGTTATGTGTTGGCCTGTCATCTAATTATCTTAAAGATGTTTGTGTATCTGTCACGTGTTATGTGTTGGCCTGTCATCTAATTATCTTAAAGATGTTTGTATATCTGTCACGTGTTATGTGTTGGCCTATGTGTCATCTAATTATCTTAAAGATGTTTGTGTATCTGTCACGTGTTATGTGTTGGCCTGTCATCTAATTATCTTAAAGATGTTTGTGTATCTGTCACGTGTTATGTGTAGGCCTATGTGTCATCTAATTATCTTAAAGATGTTTGTGTATCTGTCACGTGTTATGTGTTGGCCTGTTATCTAATTATCTTAAACATGTTTGTGTATCTGTCACGTGTTATGTGTTGGCCTGTCATCTAATTATCTTAAAGATGTTTGTGTATCTGTCACGTGTTATGTGTTGGCCTGTCATCAAATTATCTTAAAGATGTTTGTGTATCTGTCACGTGTTATGTGTAGGCCTATTTGTCACCTAATTATCTTAAAGATGTTTGTGTATCTGTCACGTGTTATGTGTTGGTCTGTCATCTAATTATCTTAAAGATGTTTGTGTATCTGTCACGTGTTATGTGTTGGCCTGTCATCTAATTATCTTAAAGATGTTTGTGTATCTGTCACGTGTTATGTGTTGGCCTGTCATCTAATTATCTTAAAGATGTTTGTGTATCTGTCACGTGTTATGTGTTGGCCTGTCATCTAATTATCTTAAAGATGTTTGTGTATCTGTCACGTGTTATGTGTTGGCCTGTCACCTAATTATCTTAAAGATGTTTGTGTATCTGTCACGTGTTATGTGTTGGCCTGTCATCTAATTATCTTAAAGATGTTTGTGTATCTGTCACGCGTTATGTGTTGGCCTATGTGTCAACTTATTATCTTAAAGATGTTTGTGTATCTGTCACGTGTTATGTGTTGGCCTGTCATCTAATTATCTTAAAGATGTTTGTGTATCTGTCACGGGTTATGTGTAGGCCTATTTGTCACCTAATTATCTTAAAGATGTTTGTGTATCTGTCACGTGTTATGTGTTGGTCTGTCATCTAATTATCTTAAAGATGTTTGTGTATCTGTCACGTGTTATGTGTTGGCCTGTCATCTAATTATCTTAAAGATGTTTGTGTATCTGTCACGTGTTATGTGTTGGCCTGTCATCTAATTATCTTAAAGATGTTTGTGTATCTGTCACGTGTTATGTGTTGGCCTGTCATCTAATTATCTTAAAGATGTTTGTGTATCTGTCACGTGTTATGTGTTGGCCTGTCACCTAATTATCTTAAAGATGTTTGTGTATCTGTCACGTGTTATGTGTTGGCCTGTCATCTAATTATCTTAAAGATGTTTGTGTATCTGTCACGTGTTATGTGTAGGCCTATGTGTCATCTAATTATCTTAAAGATGTTTGTGTATCTGTCACTTGTTATGTGTTGGCCTGTCATCTAATTATCTTAAAGATGTTTGTGTATCTGTCACGTGTTATGTGTTGGCCTGTCATCTAATTATCTTAAAGATGTTTGTGTATCTGTCACGTGTTATGTGTTGGCCTGTCATCTAATTATCTTAAAGATGTTTGTGTATCTGTCATGTGTTATGTGTTGGCCTGTCATCTAATTATCTTAAAGAAGTTTGTGTATCTGTCACGTGTTATGTGTTGGCCTGTCATCTAATTATCTTAAAGATGTTTGTGTATCTGTCACGTGTTATGTGTTGGCCTATGTGTCAACTTATTATCTTGAAGATGTTTGTGTATCTGTCACGTGTTATGTGTTGGCCTGTCATCTAATTATCTTAAAGATGTTTGTGTATCTGTCACGTGTTATGTGTCGGCCTGTCATCTAATTATCTTAAAGATGTTTGTGTATCTGTCACGTGTTATGTGTTGGCCTATGTGTCATCTAATTATCTTAAAGATGTTTGTGTATCTGTCACGTGTTATGTGTAGGCCTATGTGTCATCTAATTATCTTAAAGATGTTTGTGTATCTGTCACGTGCTATGTGTAGGCCTATTTGTCATCTAATTATCATAAAGATGTTTGTGTATCTGTCACGTGTTATGTGTTGGCCTATGTGTCATCTAATTATCTTAAAGATGTGTGTGTATCTGTCACGTGTTATGTGTTGGCCTGTCATCTAATTATCTTAAAGATGTTTGTGTATCTGTCACGTGTTATGTGTTGGCCTGTCATCTAATTATCTTAAAGATGTTTGTGTATCTGTCACGTGTTATGTGTTGGCCTATGTGTCATCTAATTATCTTAAAGATGTTTGTGTATCTGTCACGTGTTATGTGTTGGCCTGTCATCTAATTATCTTAAAGATGTTTGTGTATCTGTCACGTGTTATGTGTAGGCCTATGTATCATCTAATTATCTTAAAGATGTTTGTGTATCTGTCACGTGTTATGTGTTGGCCTGTCATCTAATTATCTTAAAGATGTTTGTGTATCTGTCACGTGTTATGTGTTGGCCTATGTGTCATCTAATTATCTTAAAGATGTTTGTGTATCTGTCACGTGTTATGTGTAGGCCTATGTGTCATCTAATTATCTTAAAGATGTTTGTGTATCTGTCACGTGTTATGTGTTGGCCTGTTATCTAATTATCTTAAAGATGTTTGTGTATCTGTCACGTGTTATGTGTTGGCCTGTCATCTAATTATCTTAAAGATGTTTGTGTATCTGTCACGTGTTATGTGTTGGCCTGTCATCTAATTATCTTAAAGATGTTTGTGTATCTGTCACGTGTTATGTGTTGGCCTGTCATCTAATTATCTTAAAGATGTTTGTGTATCTGTCACGTGTTATGTGTTGGCCTATGTGTCATCTAATTATCTTAAAGATGTGTGTGTATCTGTCACGTGTTATGTGTTGGCCTGTCATCTAATTATCTTAAAGATGTTTGTGTATCTGTCACGT